TTGGCTTCCTATGGTTGAGTACTGGTACAACTCTAACTACCACACTTCCCTCAAGGCTACACCTTTGCAGGCACTATATGGTTATGAGCCTAACTCATCGCAAACTAAAGCTTACCTGGACTCTCACAGCCATGAAGCAAAGAAATTTGTGCTAGACAGGAAGGTAATGATGCAGAACTTAAAGGAAAACCTCTTAATAGATCAGAACAGGATGAGGGTAAATGCCAACAAACAGAGAACCGAGAGAGAATTCAAGGTTGGTGAGATGGCTTACCTTAAGCTGCAGCCTTATAAGAAAAATTCAGTCCAGTTGAGGAAGAATGTCAAGCTATGCTCAAGATATTTTGGACCCTATGAAATCATTGAGAAAATAGGTCAAGTGGCATACAAATTAGCATTATCGGAAGGGTCTAAAATTCACCCCGTGTTTCATGTATCTCTCTTAAAAAAGAAGGTAGGGGAAGGAGACTCATCTATTCTGAAAATCCCGGATGCCGGAGAAGATGGTCAACTCAGGGTGGAGCCCACCGAGATCCTTGATTGTCGTGTGGTGAAAAGGGGCAACGAGGAGGTACAACAACTACTGGTTGTTTGGGGAGACAAATCGCTCAACATTTTTTCATGGGAAGATGAGAAATTCCTGATGAAAAAATTCAAAAATTTTGATCCTTGCGGACAAGGATCTAAAGAAGGGAAGGGAAATGTTATGTCTCTGCAAATTGTGGGAAATGGATCTGAGGGGAGCGGGATTTTACAGAAGAAAAGAGAAGATGGAGGAGATGCAATTGAAATTGCTGAAATGGAAAATGGGAACGAAGATAGGGCTTTGTCCGAAAATGGGAAAAGTCTTGAGGCAGCGACACGTGGAGGCCAAATGACCGTAGATCTGGAAGGCAAAGAACTGAATCGAACGGCACACGTGTAGACCGATAAAGAGAAGAAATGGCATCCTTTTAGTGTTCTTTATTTGCAATTTATCTTGTGTTTAATTAAGGAGAAGTTAGTAATATGTATTTTGAGTTTTTACCCAATTGGGAATTAAGTGGGACTATGTGAGGGAATTATTAAAAACGGAGAACATGCAGAAATGAGAATCAGTTTGTTATGCAACAAAATTTATTCTTCTCTCTCCTCTCACACTTTCTCTCTCTATATCTATTTCTCTCTCTATAATCACTTTCATCTTCCCCCTATTTTCTTCACTACAAAAAATACAGAAAAAATTACAAAAAATATAGAAATTCAACAATCTAGCTCGGGATATAACATTCGCGTGACCGCAAGCCTGTTACCGCTGAGCGTCGTCGCGAGTTGTTCCCATGCACAGATTCTGGCGAGTCTCTCCCCTCGATCGTCCCGTCGCTGCTCGTCTCCACCACGGATCACCACTGAGTTGTTGTTCGTGAGTTACCAGCAGGGCCTTTGTGCTATCCGTTGAGTTCCGTCGGAGTGCCAAACATAGCTGTCGAGTCCCGTCGGAGCGCCCGTACAGCCGTTTCAGCCCCGTTTCATAACCCCGTCCCTAGAACGGTACCCGGGCTGACCCTCGATATATATATATATATATAATGTGCTCTTATATGTGTTGATGTGTGATATTTGATGTTCCTTGATGCCTTTGGATATTATGCTTGCTAGGTGTAACATGTTATGTGTTTAATGTTGAGATAGGTTCGATTTTTGAGACATCATGTGAGTCTCGTTTAATTTGTGTAAGTGCTGTGGAAAATTGGAAAATAAGTGAGTTCTTGGCCTTATGGCGAAGGCCTTGGACGAATTGGACGAGTATTGGGTCGTTTGTGATTTTTTCGGGACCGAGTTAACTGTTGTATATTTGTTAAAATCATCATAAATGATGTGCTGCTCTGAATGCTTTAAAATTTAATATGTGATGTCCTGTGGTCATTATATATGTCGTGTAAAAATTTCAGAATTTAATTCCATATGTAGCTATTTTAATTAATTGTTTTGATTTCTAAGTAGAATCTTGTAAATTGCATAATAAATCGAGTTGTTCTCCAAAATGGCTGATTTTTGAATATGTTGTTCCACTATCATATTTCTATATTGTGTAAAAATTTCATAATTTTTGGACTTTGTTTGCTAGGGTAATTAATTGTTGGTGTTATTCTGATGAAACTCGTTTTAATTATGTAAAATCGACCTGTTGTGTAAATTGTTGGATTTTGGTTTATGTGCCTATTTTATGATTTTATGCATGAGGAAAAATGCTCAGGATTTTTGAAGTTGATCTTGGTTCGGTTTTGGGAAAATCTTGAAATTTGCAGAATTTTGTTACAATTTTTTTTTTAATTCATGTGATAAGTGTTTAAAGCTGGAACTTTTATATGTCGGTATTCACATGATGTGGCTGCTTGTGTAAAAATTTCAAGTGTTAACTCGTTCATATGGTTCAGCTTTGAAATTGTGCTCGTATTTGCTGAAAAAAATCATGTGTTTTGAGTTAAGGGCTGAAATTTGGTGGTTTTGCTAAGTCTAGTGTACTGAGGTTGAATTTATGTTAAAGTTTCAGAACGTAACTCATTCGTTTGCCTGACCAACTTAAATTGGTGTGTTTGCCATAATTGGTTTCGAGTCGAGTCCAAGTGTTCCAACGTCCACAGAGCTCCACGAACGACTTAGTTGAATCATGTTCGACTAAGTATAATTTGTGTGCTTCTTCTAAGGTCAAGATAAGATATTGAGTGTGGTATCTTAACTTGTTCTAGGTGCTTGACGAGCCGAGCTCGCCTCCTACCCCCTTTATTGTTTGTGCTTTCCTTCGCTTTCGAACATGTGGGTTTTATTTAAAATGTCTATGCTATGAAGTATAAATGTTTATTTATGTGGGTATGATCAGTGTATGAATGTGAACATGTAACCTTCGATGTGAGCTGTACCGACCGTCGAACGGTTATCCTCGTAGCTATAGAACGTACCCCACAAGGGTAATCTCCTCATTTGTCCTTCGCTAAAGACCACGTCATCTATAAGACCTTGGAAATGTGCCCTGGCCGGTGATGGATATCCTGTCCAAGCACTAGGTGCGTGCTGTGACGGTTGAGCCTCCTGCTGTTTGGGCACCCCATTTATATTTGTCGAAAGGCATACGAGTAGCAATCTATTGTTATAGGTGTGCACATGAGAATTATTTATGACTTTGGGTAGGAGATGAGATATTTAATGATTATGTTCATACTGCGACCATGCCATTTAATTTCTCGTACCTTATTATTGTTCATGTGCATAGTGGTGAGAACGACGGTTCATCGTGCTCACTCCCACCTGCTCTTCATGGATGCAGGTTAAGCAGGTGCCGGCTGACGAGGCAAAGACGAGTGGTGTTCGTCTTTCACTGATTTCATTTAGTATATTCCGCATGATGTTTGAATTGGATTATTTATGCTTATTTATGATTTAGGAACTTTGGCATTTATGGCTTATGCACTTTGGCAATCCGAACTTTGAATTGGGAGATGTCCTCTTTCGAATAATATTGATGAACTTGGGATTTATGAAAATGTTGATTTATGATTTAAGTTTTATGCAAGTATGATTTATGTGATGACCATTTATGGATTTAGGTTGAGTAGCGCCACTGAGGTATGAAAAGTTTTTAAAATTTTAAGTTGACTTTTTGAAAAGTCTTTGACTTCCGTCAAATAAAAGTGGGGCGTTACACAACGGCAACCGAGTTCGAGGAGTTATAACATTATCGAACGAACATATTCAGACTCGAGAAACACAATAACACGGGTTTTAGAGCTAAACGACATAACGACTCGAACGAAATATATATGCGAACGATAAATACGACGACGTCTCGGAAATTTTTTTATGTCTCCGAATAAATACGATTAAGCCAGAGCGTCAATCAAAAGGCTTAATTTTGGCAAACCAGAGTTCTGATTATCCACAAAAATTCAAGAATTACATTCAACGAATATATCACGAATCGATTAATATAATTCGACGAGAAACGATTCAAGGAGTACGATAATATTCGAACGATAAAATGCAAACACGCAGGTAATAAACGAGGGAAGTTCGACCATTTACCTTCCTTCGGGAATCTACAAGCTCGGTTGAAAAAAATTGAACGAACAAAACGAACTATCAACGGAACCCGCAATTGGAATCTCGTCGATTGCAGATCTGTTGTTCTCCCTCCCGAAAAGGTACGCTGCGTGGGACTCGACGATGGCGACATGCTGCTGCTCAGGGACAGGTCGACGGTGAACGGACCGAGGGTGAAAGCTCCTTGCGACAGTGACCGACTTTTAACGAGCAGTGTCGCCGGAAAGGATGGCGGCAGACTGCTGTTAGAGGCTCTAGCAAAGAACGGTTGCAGGTTTACGGCTGCTTGTTGAACACGATGCCAGAAAAGGGATGTTGCTCGGAGATGGAGGTGGGCTCGCCGATAACAGGTACGCGCAGATTTATATGAGAGCAGGTTGCGGTTTGAAAAAAGCAGAGGATGTAGAAGTCTCTCTCTCCCTCTCTCTCTGTCAGATTTTAAAGAGGGTCGATGAAGAGAACGACTTCGAACGAGTCTTTTGTAGAGGAGAAAACGTGCGAGGCAGAATCTCCCAAAATATCGCAACAAAACTTTAAAACGATAATGATAAGGGAGACAACCGATTCAAGCGAAAGAGAAAGATAAGATGCGTGCTTTAATCCTTGTTGGGCAAAGTACAATTATCTCCCAATGGGCCAAGGTATAAATATATGTAAAAAGGGCCCAAAAATTGCTAAACCACTAATGGGGCTAGAAATTAATCTTTAATTGGGCCGGGATAATGTAGAACCCCCCGATCGATTCGATTGACGATGAAATAAATCGAATAACACGACTTATTATATTAATTAGATTACATCTGATTAAAATAATAATAAGTCTAGACGGAAAGATGTCGAACAATACTACAATATAGACAATTAATATCAAATAAATAAATAATAATGCATATAGATAATATTCCAAAAATATCCATAAATAAATGGGGCATTACACCTTCGTTCGCGTCCAAGCCGCCGTTCCCAGCTCGGCCTCGCGCCACTGTGCCTGTTTTTCGGCGAAACTCGCACTGGCGAGCTCATTCCGCACCGGTGGTCCCAGCTCAAGCGTCGTCGGCCCACATGTTGCTCAATCCCACCATCAACACGCCATCTCTGACGGCCCTCCTTCACGACGACGACTGCAACACCGACCACCTTGCAGCTCCTACTGTCATCTTCGTTCAACCAGCTCTGGCAAACGAGCCCAGCACCTCGCCGTCCCGACTGGTTCACGAGCGCGCTCAGCCTCTACGCGCCGCGCCCAACCAAGTTCGCACCATCCCGAGTCGCGATCGAGTCAATCGAGTTCGGCTCTGCCCAGCCCGAGTCCACCGCAACCAACCCCGGTTCCGGCCTGCTCGCGGCCGAGCGTCGCTTTCCAGCCATTGCCGACCCTAGACTCGGTCGGTTCAGGCACAATCAACTCGGCATCGACTTGAACCGGTCCGAGTTGACCCCCTCCAACACCCAGAATTGACCCGGTCCGACCCAGCTGACCCGGATCGGCAGCCCACAACCCTAGCTTCGACCCGATTTGCGTCTCTGACCCATTTCATGGAGTTTTTTAATTTTTTGATCTCCGATTCGAGCCCAATATTAGGTAAAATGGCTTGAACCCTTTCCATGAGCTTAGATATGTTTAATGAGATGATATATAAATGTTGAATTGGGTGATTTGAGCGATTTTGATTTAGTGGGATTTATCGAGCTTGAAGTGGATTTTTCGAGCCTTTGATATAAGTGCGATAAAATGATGAAATAAATTTTATAAAATTCGTTTCGATGTCTTGAGGCTTAGATGCGAATTC